TGTGTGTGTGTGTGTGTGTGTGTGTGTGTGTGTGTGTGTGTGTGTGTGTAGATTGCTTTTTCTCTTCATGGACTCTTACCCCTGACCAAGAGCAGATTTAAGCAACCCTCTCAGTTCTCATGGAGCTTTGATTTCCATTCTACTGGCAGTGATGTGTTTGTATCCCTATCAGACCCAGGATTTCTGAGAACTGTAGATTTTGATTTAGATTGAACTCCTTTGCAAGGCATTGTCCTATCTAATGTTGTCTTAAAAACCAGCCAGCCAGCCAACCAACCAATATGTACTACTTTAGTGAGAGTGATAGTTTTCCAGAAAGGCAACCTTGTTGTGGGAAAGATGAAGGTGAATATGAGTCATTGTGGAAACGTACAAATTGCTTGTTACTAAACAGATATCTCAGTGTCCCAGGTATTCTGCTTAAGTACCAAAGAGAAAACTACACATTTCCTGCCTCAATAAACTTGGATTTTAATTGGATATAAGTTTTTAAAAATTTCTTACTGGTATTTGATTATATATGTTAGTGCTTTTTAAAAATATCTTTCTGGTCTGTTATTAACCTGTGAACTCTTTGGGAGACAATAGGCCAGACAGATTAAATGCCTAGTTTTAATCTTTATTCTGTATGTGTTTATCACATTATTCCCGATTGGCAAAAGAGGAACCAAGTAGGCCAGAATTATGTGGCACAAACGAATGTTTTCTGAGGCTATAGCCATGGCAAAATTACACTCAAGCCAGGAAATGCTGATAATCCTAACATAATAGCAATAGATTTTTATTACATTATTGATGAACTTTAGGTTTCTTAATATTGATATAAAATAGAATAATGATATTTTTAAATTTGTTTGGCTAATTAAATATGTGTTTTGTTTTACACTTCTCTGACATTTGGGAAAGTGTTGCTCAGAACACTTCAGTTTCTGAGATCTGTATATTGCTGAATCCTAAGTGAAAGCATGATTATTTTTAATGAATTTTGGTGTAGCCGTTACAATTCTGTAAAATTTTGAATTTTTATTGAAAAAATTTCTATTTTTATACAGCATTTGTAAGTATAAACAATAGTTTTATAGTTCTATTCTAGACAGCTGTTTTAATAGAAGTGGATTAGTCATACAGTACATTTGAATAAAATATTTTTATAGATCTCAAATATAATTTAGCAGTTAGACAATTGATTCTTTTGGAGGAATAAGTAAATAGACAATAGTGTGTATAGGAAGTGTGTGCATGTTTGAAGTATTTACAGCAGAAGTTTTAAAACACCTTGGTAGAGAAGGAGTTAACAGGTTAGCTCCCCTTGGTTGCTCTCAGCATGCTTTCTTGCCTTTAGATGCTGAAGAGATGATAACATTGGGCCCGGACATGCCTGTGTGGAGGTTAGGGTACTCCTGGGGTTTTTGCAGCTAGCTGTGAAGCAAGCTAGAACTTGCTCATCTCTGAGTTCCTTGTTTTTCTTTCAACCCTTTCAGTGCCCTGCAGGAATCATTAAATCAAAACTTCATGCTGATCATCACCCACCGAGAGGTCCAGCGGGAGTACAACCTGAACTTCTCAGGAAGCAGTACTGTTCAAGAGGTGAGTTCTGTCTCACAGCTAAGGAATAAAGGTAGCTCATTATATAGCTCACATTGACCCTGTTAAAGAGGCTTATCTGTTCTGTAGAAACTCTTTATGTTTCATTATTGGGTTCTTTATTTTTAATTAACTGGAGTATTAATGATTACTGTAGATACACTAAATGACTTGACCTAAAAATACAAATGTTGTAAGTGGGAGCTCTTGATAATTCTTAAAACACTTTGCTTAAAACCTTGCTTATGAACAATCTATTATTGTACAAAATATTTCATGGTTTTATAGTAATTATTTAAAATACTTTCCTGGGAATTGTTGGCAACATTCATTGTGGAGTGTTACTGTTTTACTTGAAAGGTCACTCTCAAATGTGTCATGTGTTTATATTGTGTGTGCTTCTGTTTTAAACAGGAGTTTGAAGAGGCTTTTCTTAAGCAGCTCAGTCCTAGCTTTGGGCAGTATTCATAAGGTGTTGGAGACTGTCATTTAGCTCAGACTGTCTGAATACTGTCTATGTGTTCTTCTGTGTGGCCAAGGAGGACCACTGTCTCTGAAAAGTACTTCTCCTATGAGAGAAGAGAAAAGGTACCTTCTTGGAATGTTCTTGGCCCCACCCATCCAAAGGCCAGGATTTCTCTGCGAAGGGGTGAGGAATATTAGAGGCTTTGACAGGACTTCCATGCTTAGAAACAATAAAATAGTGACTGTTTCATATTAATTTTCACAATTTATAAAAGTTACTTATATTTTTATTACTGATTTTTTAAGAGACTAGATCATGCTAAATCTTGGATTACTACACACAATTTTAAGACCACATTTTTTAAAATAATTAGTAACATCTTGAAAGAACAAGTAATTTTTTTCATTTTATGTAATGACTACTAATTATTTTACGTGTTTGATTAGTGAATTTTTATCCTTTGAATTTGTCATAAAGAACTCACTTTTCTAAGTTTATTTTCTTCATTGATAATGTGAATAGCTGTTATATAACTAAATATTGACATTCAGCCTTTTCTCTGAATTCTTCTAAATTCAGAGAAATTTCTTCCAAATTCATCCATTTATTTATTTGAATTTTCTAGAATTTTATGCTTGTACATTGCCATTTCATTTTTAACTTTTATAGTGGGTATTTCTGCTCTAAATTTAAATTTTTAATTTTTTGCAAAGTCATGGCTCTGCAAGATTTATTATAAAATATTTGAAGACAAAATTTAAATTACGTATGTGAACATTTAATTAAACTAGGGAATTTAGTTTCATAATCCGTCCGCTAAGCAACAAAGCAAGATAATAGGAGCTAAATTTTATTCTCTTGGTTTATTTTTTATTTGAAAAGGAATATAGTGCATTATAGATAAATATAGGACTGTGTTTCTGCATGAAATTTTTATAGCTAAAATTTTGTGTGTAGTTTCTCCCAATCCCAAACCCCCTTGCATTGCTAGTTTAACTAATTTGAGTGTGTTTCAACTTTCTCCCACAAGAGGGCAGAAAGGACTATTAAGCTGATAGTCTAAAAATGCCACTCGGTGTTTTCAAATTAGCTTCTCTTATATTAACAAAAAGGAGCATAATGGCCAAGTTATTGTTTGATTTACAGATAATTGGCATATTGCAGCGAGGAGACTTAATTTCACCCTTTTAAATTAAACAGGGAGATTTAAAAAGACATAAAATATTCATTAATGTTCGGTGATTATAAAGTAGTGGCATATATTTATTTTGCCTTTATTACTGTTTCGATGGGAAAATACTGCAAATATTTCCGAAATCGAGTTGGCCATACTGACAAGTTGAAATGTTTAAGCAATGTTAATGCAATCTGCTCACACCTGATATCCTATGCAGAATGATTCAAAATGACTACATTAATTATTAAAAGAAATACTTAAAATTCTGTAAATGTGCCATTGCGTGCCACAGTTGGCTGAAACTGTTCTCGGCTATATTATTTAGATTATCAAATATATTTTAAGTGTCAAGGACTTGAAAACATTGAAATCCTTTTCTTACCATGTTCTAAATGCCTTTTTAAAAATGCTCCAGAAACTTTTTTTTTTTAATGACAGATATTCTTATGTATTTCCTAATAATAGTTTTTTTTCCTTTTTTTAATTTAAAATAATATTTTGAAATGCTGGTTATTAAGAAAAAATATTGTATTTAATGAAAATTGCTTTTCTGTGAGTAGACAGTTCGACGCAGGTTGCTTTATTTTGTGTAACTTTGAGAAAGGTTGTGGAACAACTGGCTGGGCATAGCTCCCTGGCGCTTCCGTGGACCTATGGGATCCTGTGCTGAGGCTAGTTCCAGGAAGGAAAGGTGCTCCCTGTGGACAGCCATACAACTCACAGTGCCTTATTTCTTGCTAAGCTACTGTAAGTCAGTTTAGATGCACTAAGTACTTGAAACAATTTGTAGCTCAGTGTTAATATACTACTTTTGTTTTTAATGTGGACGCCTGTTCATGTCCTGCATCCTCAATTGCAAATTAACCTGTCACCAATTTCAGAAATCTTCATTCAACAGTAAGCCCAGAAAGAAATTGTGACCGCTAGTTATGTATGTATATATTATGTATATTCACACACACATGCACGCGCACACAGAAGACAGTTTAAAGGAATCAATTAAAAGCATCTGATCATTTTTCCAATAAAGGAAATTATTTTTATTTCCTAGGTAAAAGCGCTCTTAATGTTTTGAAAGTCTTGAATTTCTAAAAGAAAGTGTTTAAAGTATTTTTCACGCAGAAAACTATTAAATGATTAAGACTGACATGGGCACCGATTCTAACTATTAATTGAACAAAATAAATCATTGAAAATACCGATTTGGAGAATAGTGCTAAGATGCAGTTAGGATTTCAAAAAAGAATTCCTAAGTAACGTGGTCTAGCGCATTGGTGATGATAAACTGATGGTGTACAAGTGTTTGCTCATCCTGGCTGTGACTCTTTTCCTTTGCGTTCCAGCTGAGTGCTTTTGGTTTTCATTCTGTTCATGTTTTAAGCCTTTACAAATTTTTCCAGTTACATGTTTTATGTAAGGACATGGCAGTAACCTCTAGAGATGGCTAGAAGAAGAGAGTTTCAAGTGGTTATCAAAAGTAAAATTTTTATTCTTTAATGATCACACAATACCTCGTAAAATTATCAAGTAATAATATTGTAATAATACTGTGACAGCCCCAACTTTCTTCAATTTGCACCCTAAATTAATACTAATCACATTTTAAAATATCAAAATTCCTTCAATACTTAAATAAGCCTATCTTATTTTAATCAGTTCTCTACTTTTGAGAATTCAGTTTTAAACAATTAATTGTAAGGATTCTAATAATTTAAAAATCTTTGGTTTCAAATACGCTTGGGGTGGACTAACACAGAGAAGAAAGACTGATTTGCCTCTGCAAATCCTAAGCCCAGGTGTGGAAAAGGATATACAGTCCCTGAAATCAAGCCAGCTTTTCCTTGGAAACTGATTCTTTGTTGTCTCCCTTATTATTGCGAAAGCCTCTGTTAGGCAAATATCTCCTTTTTTTTTTTGGAGCTGCCATATAAACTTAAGAAACAGACACCTGACCTGAAATAACAAAGATAAGAAATATAAGTATTTTTAATGCAGAATCATGGAGTATTACTTATCGATTACAATGAGAGAGAAATGTGATGAATAGCTTTTAGAATTATTTAAATCCTCTTCCAAGTTTCACTTTACCCCAGAATTTTCACTATTCTTACTAATGTTGATTTAGTTCTTAATGGGAATGAAAGGGGAAAATTGACAGCTTACAAAGCCATATCTCACAGGGAGCAAGTAGCACATTTCACTACTCGCACCATGTTATACAAACTGATGATTAAGTGGGAAGCCAATTGAGGTAGAATTGGCATCAAGGAAGTAATTTAAGTAAATCATACCAGTTCTTAAAAATAATTGTGAAATCACGATGTTAATTTTGATTGTAAAATTTAAACCGTGTGCTATTTTTGTGCGTGTTTGGTCTGTCCTTGGTGCTTTCTAATTTTGACTAATAATGTGTGTTTTGGACTGCTGTTTAAGGCTGGTGGCCAGTAACTGTTTTGAAATGTTTAGTGCTTCACAAATTATATTTAGTGGGCAATTTTCTAGTAGTAAGTAGATTATAACTTAACTGTTGTATCCTTTCTTTAAATGTTTTGAGGTATTAGGCGCCTTTTTTGGGGGGGGGGTTGTTTGTTTTCCAATATGGGGTGGTGGGGCTTGTGGCAAAGAATTGAAGAAAGTGAGGTAGCTGAGAATGTTCATATGCAAGAGGGTAAATTAAGTTGTGTGCTTACTTAATTAAAAGTTTAAGTGGTTTGTTTTTACTGCAAGATAAATGGCATATATTAGCTCAATTAGAATGAACAGCTTTAATTAGCATATATCATCTTTACCAAAAACCTAAAATAAAAATGACATCTTAGTAAGAATGAAAGATTGTGATTTTATCAACCAGGCATGAATTCAAGACATTATTCAGCTTCCAAAATAGGAGACTATGATGTATATATGTTACTGATTTCAGATTGCATTTTAAAACAGGCTTGTTGAATGGTACTGCTTCTAATGATCAGATTATCTTATTGGAATTTTCTGTGTTTCTGTTGTATCCCTTAGGAATAAATTTAAGTAATATTTATGGTGTAGCTATTTGGAAATGATAATAGTTTTCTTATTCTAGAAATATATTACATTAATTTGGACATTATTTAATAACAAATATATTTATCTGTTTCACAAATAAAAATGAAACTTTCTTAGAAATGAAAGGTAATGTTTTAGCCCTTTGTTACTTAAGATACTTGTATCCTAACAGCTTAGCCTATATTATATTTATAATCTGTGGTTTGTGTGTTGATAGTTTTGAAATGCCTAAGTGAAGAGAAATTGCATTCAGTTATCAGAAAGTAATAAACCTAAGACATTTTTCTATGCAAGAAAAGGCAGAGAGTAAATAATTGCGCT